TTCCTTTGTCTCCATGTTTGGTTTGTGCTTTGACATGCACTGTCAACCCTGGGACCTTATATAGACAGGGGTTTGGCTTTTCAAATCATGTGCAATCTAATGAACCATCTTATGAATGATCAGTGAAAACAGAATTTAGAGCTTCATGACAAAGGCTGTGAATACTTATGTACATGTGACTTTTCAGGTTTTTTATTTTTAATAAATTTACAACAATTTCAAAAAATCTTTTTTCACATCGTCATTATGGGGTATTGAGTGTAGAATTTTGAGGAAATAAATTAATTTAATCCATTTTGGAATAAGGCTGTAACATAAACAAATGTGGAAAAAGTGAAGCGCTATGAATACTTTCCAGATGCACTGTATGCTATTTCGGTAAATGTTCTGGAGATGTTGACTCAAGACAATGACTACTGTGAACTTCATTGATATTTTGCCCACTTAGTATTCAATTTACATTGTAATTTCAGTGTGTATAACAATTATAACTAAATTCAGTTTGTATAACATAATAGTTTGTAATTTCAGTAAATGTTGTGGAGATGTCGACTCAAGACAATTGATATTTTGCCCTTTTTGCTATTAAATTTACATTATAATTTAAGTTTGTAAAACAATGATAAATTCAGTTGGTATTACATTATAATTTGTTATTTTGGTAAATGTTCCAATCACGAATCAAGTCAATGCCTACTGTGAACTTCACTGATATTTTTTCCCATTCACTTTTCAATTTAGGCTACATTATAATTTAACAATTATAATTTATGTTTTGATAAATGTTCTGGAGATGACCAATCAAGACAACTCCATTGAAATTTTGCCCCACTGACTATTTAATTTGCATTATAGGCTATAATTCTAATTTGTATAACAATTATGAATTCAGTTTGTATAACATTACAATTTATATGTTATTTCAGAATATGTATTTCCAAAATGTGAGAATAATAATGTTTAGCTAGTATATTTAATTTCAAATATTCAACGAGAGAGAATAAGTCCATAAATGAAAATAAATTGCACTGCACAGTTGAAATTCAAAATAAATATAGCTAATAGACAGCTATGGAAAAAATGAAGAGACCACTTGCAATTTTACAGTTTCTCTGAATTTACAGGACTTTTAGGTAGCCTCTGGTTTAAGTAAAATGTTTGTTTTATTCAACAAAGCGCTGATAAAATTTCTTACATATTTTATAAAACAATATTGTGAAAGAGTTTTTTTTTCAAACAAATAACAAACAAATTTTTCATATCACTAAATATTGTTTTTTAACATTTCTGAAATTAAAACACTGGAACTGTGTTGTCTAAAGTAAACAACTTGTGAAAACATGACCTTTTTGTGATAAAAAAATGCTGTAAATAACATTTTTATTTTAAATTTGAATTATGTCATCTGCGATTTACAAAATAGGCTATACGTTTTACCAAAGACTAAAATGGCCTACACCTTAATGGGACTTCCAGAAAAGCTGAACATGTTTAAACATTATTTAAATGTCATCTTTTGCTTTATATTTAATCTTAGCTTTTACTGCTGGTGCAATTTAGTGATGTACAATTCTACAAATACCTCTAATTCTACAAATTCTACCTCTACAATACCTCTAATTCTACAAATGTTTTCTACAAAAAAAACAATATAAAGTTTGAACAGGATATTGAACAATTAATCAGTCTTCAAACTTATAAGATTAAACGTATAAAAGCAAAAAAGACGTACTTATGTTGCCAATGAAAAATCGAGATGTAGCCTAGCCTAATAATTTTAAAAAGGGATTGTTGTGATGCAAGAGTTGATGTCTAAATCTGGCAGTGCTGCTTGTTCAATTAGGCTACAGATTTTGGTACAGATTTAAAAAATCCAGATCAATGAAATACTCAGATACTTTTAAATAATAAACTATTATGATTTATAGTTACATTCACTAAGTTCTTTCTCTTCCTATTTCTTCGATCAGTGTGGTGTAAAATGATCAATTCCATGCTACAAGTTAGGTTGAAAAGTGAAGGAATCATGATGTTTTTTTAACATTGCTTCATGCATTAACAGTAAAATCCTGTTTTAAACAAATATATGAATTTATGTTTGTGCTTAACCTCAATTATCTGACCTTGCTACAGCTGTGGCTTCGTGTGACTGACAAAAAGCACGCCATGAGGGAGAAATTAATTTCTGAGAATTGCCTAAAATATAACTAAATCACATTACAAACTTATTATGCACTCCATCTATAGCTAATAGACTACACTTTGGATTTAAAGAGACTGTTATTGTTATTATTATTAAACTGCTTACTAAAATGTTTAGAAAAATGTATTATAATAATGAAATTAATACAACTAAATGCTAAACTTTTATTATGCAAACCGAATTGTGGATATTTTCTAATAAATGGGGAGAAAATTAAGTTTGTAGCCACTGATATAGATTGTGTTTGTGGCAGATTATCATAGTTTATGACATTCATTTTACTTCAACTTAGTCCCTTTATTAATCTGGGATCGCAACAGCAAAATGAACTGCCAACTTATCCAAAACATGTTATATGCAGTGGATGCCCTTCCAGCCGCAACCCAGCAAAGTAAAAAATCCATACACACTCACATTTACTGCGGCCAATTTTGGGGAAAACTAGAACACCTGGAGAAAACCAACGCCAAGACGGGAAGAACATGCAAACTCCACACAGAAATGCCAACTGGCCAAGTTGGGGCTCGAAGCAGCGACTTTCTTGCTGTGAGGCGACATTGCAAACCACTGATTAATTATTTATATATATATATATATATATATATATATATATATATATATATATATATATATATATATATATATATATATATATATTATTTTTTTTTTTTAAATTGTTTTATAGCTTTGAAACATTACATAAAGTAATATTACAAATTCCTATAGTTGCTATATCCAGGAACATTACAATAATTACAACAACAACTAGAAATGATAATGAAGCAAAAACATAACAAGAGAAAAAAAACAAACAAACAAAAAAAGTATTACAAAATACTTCTATACATATAAACAAAAATAATAACTTAGGATATAATCATCGACTACAGCGGGGGATCAGTACCAGAGAAAAATTAATGAAATCTAACAATAAATCACTCTTTTTGTTTTTAATTTGCATTAGAGACTTTTTCAAAGTTTCCATTTCTAATTTAAAATATAGCATTTTGGTATACATTTCGCAAATTTGTTTATGTATAAAATATTTACCTTGTAAAATGTAGAAATTAACAACATACTCAAATGTTATTTTTGTGAGTGAAAAAGTGCAAATGACATCTTTTAAAGATGGCCAGTAATTAACATTTCTTTGCCTAAATAACTTCATTCCAAAATTTAAGAGAGACATCAGAGTTATGGAAAAGATGAGAAAGGTCTTCCTCATGTATATTACAAAATGTGCAAGCATTATCAATATCCATGAATTTAGATAAAGTTGCAATAATACAAAATAATAGGTGCGTTCGACTTCATGCAGCGCTGCGCAGATCGATCGAAATCTGTCTTAAAGCGGTGCATTCTGGTTAGAAATCTTGTCCGGATTGATGCTGCGCCGACGCCACGTGACTGTCACATGTGGCATCAAAGTACCGCGACAGCGCTCCGAGATCAGACGGCAAACTCAGACCGTGCAGCTTCTGAAGAGCGACTGCAGGAGCTCTGATGACGACACTGATATTACACGATTGGCCGAGTTCACCACATGACAACAAACACGTGTATTTCGGGTTTATAATTGGACAAATTCCGATTCAAAAGTTTCAAAACAAACAATTCACTTTTCACACCCTCTCTATCCTGTACACATCTTGCTTATTAAAAGACTACAAATATTTTACTGCAGTAATCATCTTTTGTTAAATAATCTGGTTATAAAGGTTAGCTTGTTTGCACAGGTTTATTTTTAACTTTTTTATACAGACTGTTTACTGCATTCATCTCCATGAACGATTTAAATGATATATTTTAGTGTATATTTTAGTGAATAACCTAAATAAGTCTTACAGACTTGAAATAAAATAATCATCATCATTGATCCTGCCACCCTAAAGCTCTCTTAACAAATTAAAGTAAAGAACTATTTTATTAAATAATTATAAAATGGTTTTATTATTATTATATAATATATATATTATTTCCTGTCTAGCAGTTTAAAGGCTACCTGCTCTTTCTGGGAAACTTCTACATCGCTCACTTATTTTACCTTTTGTTCTTTTCAACACAATCTTTTTGGATTAAAATGCTTTTTTTGAAAATGCATTCATTATCCAAAATAATGTCATTTATTAAGACCTAATCAAAACACCTTGTTTTGCTTTTTACATTGGAAATTTTTATATCTATAAATGTACATATATATAAACCCTTTTTTAGCAGATTCAAACAAGAAGTATTAGCCCAAAGGTTGATGTTTAACTCCTAGAATTTATGCTTATTGCTTTGTATTTAATAGACCTGTTCGTTTTTATGTTTATATTAACCTCTCATTTCCTCTTATTTCTCTCATGCATTTGTTATATATTTTATTCATAATTCTCTCTTATTTTTTAAAAAGGAACAACAGTTTGTAGAAACTGTATTCTGTTTTATTTGTAAATGTTTTGTTGTTATAAATAAAAATAACAAAAAAATATGATGACGCCATGTGATCGGTCATCATGACTGCAGCAACTTTTGAGTCCCGAAGTGTCCAGCTGTCCGTCTTGACGGCTCCGTTTTCAACTCCGCCCCGCCTGCGCTCGGCTAATCTCGTTGATCACCGGCTGCAGCTGAGCTTCATGTCGAACGCACCTTTTTTTTTTTTTTTTTTTTTTTTTTTTTTTTTTTTTTTTATTGACCTCAATAACAAACATACAAAATTCAACAATTTACACAAAAGAACACAATGACAATAACAGATCAGGATAAACAATATAAACTTTAAAAATTAAATAAAAAAAAAGAAACAAAAGGGAGAAAACATAAATAAATAAATAAAATTAAACATACATAACACAAATACAGCAAGAGGAAAGGAGGACTTATGTAACCGTGCTGTTTCCAAAATATTTATCATAAAGAACTAAAAATCTATCACTTTTCTTATTATTAACTAATCTAAGAGATTTAATAAAAACATCAATTTCTATTAAAAAATGTGAAAAAGAAGGCTGCGAACAGGAGAATTTTTGTTTATGGATAAAATATTTTCCATACAAAATAAAAAAGTCAATAATGTAATTCTCTGATACATCAGCCCCACCTCCATAATAACAAACGACATCCTGAAGATGAAAGGGTCTGGAAGAAGCAATGTGGTTACCTATATGGAGATATACGTTTTTCCAAAAGTTTTTTGTACTTTCACATTGAAAAAATATGTGAATCAGCGTTATGTCGAACGCACCTAATAATTTCCCAAACAGTACCGTGGACATCATTTCCGCTTACGACATGTTCGTCCTACTTCGCGAAAGATCCGGCGCGCAACCACGCGCAATGTTTAGTTCCGCGCGTGCGGCGCAGTGAAATATGCCTTGGTGCAAGCAAGGAACTACAGACAAGCTTGTACGAGAGTTTTTACGCACTGGGGCCGCTGCAAGGTTAGAGTTTACATGAAAACGCATGATTTGACGGCTGAATAGTGAACCTGTCTAGCTCAACTAGGAGCAAAGACGCCAGTAAAATGGTGCCAGCTGTTGCACAGAAGGCTAACAGACATTCGCATTTACTATTATGTATGCATCGCATTCATCGTCGCAGATAAAATAACAAGCAAATGTGTCTATTTACGATTTTAATTCATTCTAAAGACATTTAACAAAATAGGTGCTGTTATAAATATGTTAGGATAGTTCTCTTCATAATCTGATTGAAGCTAATTAAATCTGTCTTGACAACAGATGTGAAGTTAACTCTTATTGGTACTACTTGATTCAGTGTGCAGCATGAATCAGCTCTTCCATGCTTTACTTTTCCCCCAAATAAGTGTGTTGTGTGTGTAATGATGGCTTACAGGGTTTTGCCAGAGAGCCAGGCTTAATGCAAACACAGCTGTCAAGGTCAGAGTCAGTCTGCTGTCCTCCACAGGTGTCCCTGCTGTCTGTGCTGTTTGCCCCACATTTAAAAACACTTGTATCGCTCTGTTCAGGAACAAGATGATGAAGAACTGGGGCGTGATTGGTGGAATAGCTGCTGCCATGGCTGCTGGAGTCTATGTACTATGGGGGCCAATTTCAGACAGGAGGAAGAAGAGAAAAGGTAAGGTGTCCAACCTCATTTTATCAACCCCAATTATCCATTATCGTTCCTCTTTTTCCTTGATCGAGACACAATTTCACTCACATGTTTACCTCTTTCCTTCTTACTGCTGATAAACTGGAATCGACAGATTTAGTAGGTGAGAGACAGTTTTAAGGTTCGCTCTGAGAATAGAATAATCATCAACAGGATGTGACGGAGCATGTCCTCATCACTCCTTGGCCAAACTAATTAACAAATTAGTATCAGCAGACGTCTTCAGTTAAACTACTATGAATGTGGTTAATATCACCGTATTGTAATTTCTGCATTTATGTAACATTAAAAATTGTGACAAATGTTGCATTTCCCCACAATAGAATAATTCCAGTAATTGCTGCTAATGTGAAGATTATATATAGTCACATCACGTTAAAAGTATCGCTAGTATACGTATAAATCTAGAATACATTCATTCATTCATTTTCTTTTTGGCTTAGTCCCTTTATTAATCTGAGGTCGCCAACTTATCCAGCATATGTTTCACCCTTTCAGCTGCAACTCTCTCATTCACACACATACACAACAGACAATTTAGCTTACCCAATTCACCCTCAAGTCTTTAAACTTTGGACACCCAGAGGAAACCCACACAAACATGGGAAGAAACATACAAACTCCACACAGAAATGCCAACTGACGCAGCCGAGGTTCGAACCAGCGATGTTCTTGCTGTGAGGCGATTGTGCTACCGACTCCGCCACCGTGACGCCCTAGCTAGAATACAGAAAAACTATTTTTTGATTTATAAATATTCATATGCAGAGTTAAAATTTCTTTTCTTCTTATATTACATATGCAGCACAGCATTGGTCCTGCAAGCCATGACACTCACTGACACATTTCAGTGTATGTCTCAACCATAGACTGTAAAATAAAATGTACAGCTTATTCAATCAGTCAGACAGACAATAATTATTTGTATGGCAACCTTGGTATTTGAAATGATTTCTTTGAGTCATTTTGAACGAATGCTCCCTGAGCACAGTACACTCATTATGAAAAAGGTAGATATGTTACAATACTGTAGAAAAGACAACTGAATCTGTGCTTGCTTTATCCATTTTATAAGGGTTCTAGATATGGAGGTCAATACGGTGTTATCAAAATGGCAAATTATGAACCTTAGCATAGCACTTCATGTTTGTCCACAAAGGAAAATATGTGTCCTTCAAAAGTTTATATTATGTTGTATTATGTATATACTGTAGTAACAGATACTACACTTTGTGTTGTGACTGTAATTAAAGCCATAATTACTTAATTATTTAATTTATTTTATTGTCCTTAAAAGGAAGTAAGTATACAATCTATATTACCAATTTTATCAGCACAAATAAGGATTTATTTTATTATATTATTCATTCATTTTCCTTAGTCCCCAGCTTAGTCCATTTATCTATCAGAGGTTGCCACAGCGGAATGAACCACAAACCTATTCAACAAGTTTTACGCAGCTTATTGCCTTCCAGCCGCAACCCAGTACTGGAAATTATATTATATTATATTATATTATATTATATTATATTATATTATATTATATTATAGTATATTATATTATATTATATTATATTATATTATATTATATTATATTATATTATATTATATTATATTATAGTATATTATATTATATTATATTATATTATAGTATATTATATTATATTATATTATATTATATTATATTATATTATATTATATTATATTATGATTACACTATAGTAACAGATGCTATACTTTGTGTTGTGACAGTAATGATTGATTAAATCTCTAATTTCTCTCACAGGTATGGTTCCTGGTCTGCTTAATCTGGGGAACACGTGTTTTATGAACTCACTTCTCCAGGGTCTGGCAGCGTGTCCTTCCTTCATCCGATGGCTTGAAGACTTCACAAGTCAAAACAGCGCTGATCGAGAGAGAACGGAAAGAGAAACTCAGCTGTCCAGATCTCTGATGCAGTTACTTAAAGGTGACCATCTCCCATCCACTCAAACACAAATATAATGTTAATGTATGTTAATGCACTTCTACCCTCCATTAAACAGCCCTGTCGAGTCATGATCCAGGAGAAGATGATGTTTTAGATGCCGGAGGCCTTTTGGAAGCGCTCAGACTTTACAGATGGCACATCAGCTCATTCGAGGAACAGGTTAGATGCAGTTGCATGCTTTAGAGTTTATATATGCCTAAGTTTTGTGTTTTTTATTTCTGAAATATGAAAATGACAGTGTATCTCTCAATACCCCCCTCAGGATGCTCATGAGCTCTTTCATGTTCTCACATCATCATTAGAGGAAGAACAGGAACGCCAACCCAGAGTCGCTCACCTCTTCGACATGCAAACACTGGAGGTAAACAAGAGCAGCTACCATACCTTTAATGCATTATTAGGCCCTAAACAAAAGTTTAGCTCAGAATTGGACAAGTATTATTTTTTAAATATGCAGCACATTATGTGCATCACGGTGACGCAGTGGGTAGCATCCGCTGTGTAAAACATATGCTGGATAAGTTGGCAGTTCATTCCGCCGTGGTGACCACTAATTAATAAAGGGACTAAGCCGAAAAAAAAGGAATGAATGTTGCACCTTTGCATGGAATAACCTGCAAACAAAGTTGAAGTTTAAAGAGATGGTTGGTTTCACTACATATTTAGAAAAAGACTTTAACTGAGCTGGAATTTGAAACCTTGGCATGTAGCTGTTCTGACTAGATTTTTTCCTGGTATAATAATAATTATCATTATCATTATTATTATTATTATATTTATTTATTTGTTATATATTAATATTGATTATCTCTCAAAACACACACACTTAAAAACACAGTAGGTCCAAAAGCTAAATGAAGCCTATTTGAATGCTGTAGGAATGGTTCTGAAATTCAATCTATGAAAGAAATAAAATTTTCTGTGGACTTTTGTTTTTAGATTGATAAGGTGTGATATCATTAGGTAATATCACATGAGCAAGAGTGTAATTTTCCAAAATATTATCATGTGAAGACAAAAAATGTGAGATTGATTCTATACAACAGTTCAACAAACAAGAAGTTAATATTGAGTATGGTAACTTATATACAGCTAAAGTCAGAATTATTAGCCCCTCTGAATTATAAACCCCCCTGTTTATTTTTTCCCCCAATTTTTGTTTAACGGAGAGAAGTTTTTTTTCAACACATTTTTAAACATAATAGTTTTAAAAACTTATGTCTAATAATTGATGTATTTTATCTTTGCCATGATGACAGTAAATAATATTTGACTATACATTTTTTAGACATTTCTATACAGCTTAAAGTGACATTTAAAGACTTAACTAGGTTAATTAGGTTAACTAGGCAGGTTAGGGTAATTAAGCAAGTTATTGTATAATGATGGATTGTTCTGCAGACAAAAAAAAAACTTAAAGGGGCTAAAATTTTGACCTTAAAATGCTTTTTAAAAATTAAAAACTGCTTTTATTCTAGTTGAAATAAAACCAATAAGACTTTCTCCAGAAGAAAAAAATATTATCAGACATACTGTGAAAATTCCCTTGCTCTGTTAAACAACATTTCAAAAATATTTTACAAAAAAAAAAAAAAAAATTTAAAGGGGGGCTGAAAATTCTGACTTCAACTGTACGTATACAATGCCATTACTGGAATAATATTCATGCTCATGATACTGTAAACTTGAGTCTTAAAGCAACACTAGTGTTTATTTCAATCAATTTTTAATCAATTAGACATTCGTAACAAGTGTCTCATTTACTTTCAAAATGTATCAGCTGTTTTTAAATGAATAGTTTAAAGGAGACCTATTATGTCTATTTTTACAAGATGTTAAATAAGTCTCTGATGTCTCTTGAGTGTGTATGTTAAGTTTCAGCTCGAAATACCAAACAAATAATATTTTAGAACTCTTTGAAAATGCCCCTTTTAGGCTTTGATCCTAATAGGGTATATGCGGAGCTAGTGTTTCTTCCCATACTGATAAACTTGTGGTGAATGGTTAATGCAACTTTTTTCCATTTTATACGGTTCCTTTTACAGCATCAATGTTGTAATGTAATTGACTTTGGCATTCATTTAGTTGCTCAAGCATAAAACGAGACAAAAAGTCGTTTACTCACACCACCCGTCAGAATTGGAAAGCTAGCGCAAAAGTTCCATTGAATATACTGGGGTAAAATAATGTTCATATTTTAAAGTGAAGATGTAAAGAAATTAAAGAAAAACTTAATTTAATGCAGTGCTTCTTGTACAACCTAAGACCCACTTTATATCGAATATAACTCAGCCAGTGGAGATCCCTGATTTTTTAAAGAAAACAGACCTTAAACACGCCGATTAAAGGTCCTTTAGCATACCTCTGCATATACCCTTCAATTTTGGTGACTGTCGCTTTAAATTTAAATTCAGTTTTGCTCTTTTCAAAGGAGGACAGAGTCAGCATAGTGGAAGATTCAAAAACAAGACTAATGAGGGAGAGATTGTTGCTAATGGGCGGGACTTTCCCTCTCTAATGACATGTACAAAGAGAGAATGTCAATCAAAGTGTTTCTGCAGACTGATTTTATCAAGAGTGATTCTAAATAATTTAATTAGTAAATTTTTACCATTAGAAGCTGCTTATATTAACAGACTATTGACACGCAACTTTGTTTAAACTCCTTGTAAAAGTGATTTTTGCACAATAGGTCCCCTTGTAATGAATAATTCAATAAATCATTCATTAAGATAAGATTTGCTGCCACCTACTGGCAGTTTTTAGTGTCATACTTATTTATCAATGACAGGCCCTAACCAGTATAGTATTTATTATTGTTTCCAAACAAATCTTCAGCAGTATTTTTTGTAATATAGCACACCCCTACTGACACTGCTATGAATGCTTTCAGAAATCTGTGGAGTCCAAAGAGAAAAACATTAGTTGTCGAAGTGGAGGTAAATGAAGACTTCCTTCTTAAAATATTTAGACATTTTGTTTATCATCTGATTGCATTTTTAGGATTGAATAATTTATCTTGTTCATTTCTAGGCCCACTGCATCCTATTCCTAGTTTATGGAGAACTAGGCATCCTTTTCATGGACGGTTAACAAGTTATATGGCTTGCAAGCGCTGCGAACAACAGGTGATTAAATCAGAGTTGTTGTTTTTCTTTTAAGTTACACTGGACATAAACTAAATAGATGTTTATTAATAAATAATATAGATGATTTATACAATATTTATTTATAATATAAATAATTAATAGATAATAAAATAATAGATAAAATAGTTAATGCTGTCTTTTTATTCCAGAGTCCTGTGCATTATGACTCTTTCGACAGCTTGTCTCTTTCGATCCCTTCAATACAGTGGGTGAGCAAACTTGTTTTGTAATACACCAGTACTACTGTAGAATAGCTTTAGTCATCACTATATTAAAATGGATGACTCAGTTAGTGTTATACAGCAAGACATGTACATACAATACAATTTGCATCACATGTATTCATACATCATTTTTTAGGGTCGACCTGTTACTTTGGACCAGTGTTTACAGCATTTCATCTCCTCTGAAACCATCAAAGAAGTGGAATGTGAAAACTGCACCAAGGTATGACGTATGTAATAATTTGAGGACAAGTTACTTTAGTATCATTGTACTTGATCCTTTATTATGTAAACACCAACATGGCATACAAGAAAATAAAATAATGGGCTTGATTTATTTATGTGTTCCCTCTATTAATTAGAGCATGCACACATTTTACAATTTTTTAAGAAATTGTGCACTTGATATAATAATTAATGCTCTCATTCTACTGTATTATAAAGTGTACACAAAATAAAAATTTGTTATATTTCCTGTCTTCCAACTTATTTTAAACATTATTTTAACATTATTATTTTAACAGCATATTAAGACAGAACTATAAAGGAAAGAGTTTTTCACAAAGAAGCTGGATATTACATGTAGTGCAAATAACATAAATAAAGCACCTGGTTATGATTGTTTATGGGATAGTTCACACAAATATGAAAATTGTGGTCACACTTTACAGTAAGGTTCATTAGTTAATGTTAATTAATGCATTTACTAACATGAACAAACAATGAACAATACATTTACCACTGTATTTGTTCATGTTAGTAAATGTTAGTTAATGAAAAAACAGTTGTTCATTGTTAGTTCATGTTAACTCATGGTGCGTTAACTAATGTTAACAAGCATGGACTTGGATGTTAATAATGCATTAGTAAATGTTCAATTATGATTAATAAATGCTGTACATGTGTTGTTTATGATTAGTTTGTGTTAGTAAATGCATTAACTAATGAACCTTATTGTAAAGTGTTACCAAAATTGTTTCCTAAACATTTGATCATTCAAGTGGTTCCTAACATTTATGAGATGCTTTATTCTGTAAAACACAAAAGAAGATATTTTGAAGAATGCTGAAAACCTGTGTAACTATTGACTTCAATAATAGGAAAATCTAATACTATGGAAGTCAATGGTTACAGGTTTATAGATTTCTTTAAAATAGCTTGTTTTGCATTTGGAACAAGTAATGGGTGAGTAAATGATTCAGGAATTTTTAGTTTTTGGAGAACTATCCTTTTAAAACAAAAGAATGAATTAGTAAATCATGTGCTCAATTTAGCTGAGGGAACTAAAGAAATGGATGGACCTTTTCACATTTCAAATGTACATACGCTTTTAAAAATATATATAAAAATTAAAAACTTTCAAAGATTTAAGATGCTGATGACCATTAAATGCGCGAAAATGAAAAAGCATTAGTAAATCATGCTTAACTGCTCACAATTCATAATTTTATTTTATTTTTTTGCATATCATGTGTGGGGCTTCGTAATTATAGTTGAGTTAATTCTCTCTGTCACTTTTGTAGCAGCAGGCTGGAGAGCTAGTAAATGGAGAAGTGCTTGAGAGTCAGAGGACGACATTTGTCAAGCAGCTGAAACTTGGAAAGGTAGACCTGACTGAAATCAAAAGCCTTTCCTTAGAGCAACAGGGCTCCAAATAACGTCCTGTTGTTTTGTGTGTGTTTCTTTCTTTTGGCTTTTAGTTGCCTCAGTGCCTCTGCATCCATTTGCAGAGACTGACGTGGTCTAAAGAGGGCAGTCCCATAAAGAGACAGGAGCATGTTCAGTTTACAGAATATTTATCTCTGGATCGATACAAACACTGTAGTGCTGCTCAGAGCCAGCAGAAGACCAGCAGAACAAATAAGGCCAAAGCTTCCGCAGACCCAAAGGACAAAGCCATTGCTAATGGTGTTGGTGAGAAAATAGGAATTGAGACTGTCATTTAGATCTGTGTGATTGGCTCTGTGTAAAGCATCCTTGAAATCCTTTAGCTACTTTTATAATAATAATAGTAATATCTATTATTAATATTATTATAATTATTAATATTAATTATTATTTACTTGTATGTGTTTGTTGTGTCATGATGCTACTGTCCAAATTTTATTGCCCCTTGCGGGATTAATAATGTTGATAAACTTAATAATAAATATATTTTTATTGTTGCTTATTAATAATTATTACTATTATTATTTCAGTTATTTATTATTTTATTAACTTTATAAATAATTGGAAAAATAACTAATTAAAATAATAATAATAATAAAATGTTTATTACTTATTGTTATTATTATTATTATTTCAATTATATATTATTTTATTAACTTTATAAATAATTGAGAAAATAACTAATTGAAATAATAATATTAATAAAATCTTTATTATTACTTATTATTTCAGTTATTTATTATTTTATTAACTTTATAAATAATTGGAAAAATAACTAATTAAAATAATAATAATAATAAAATGTTTATTACTTATTGTTATTATTATTATTTCAATTATTTATTATTTTATTAACTTTATAAATAATTGAGAAAATAACTAATTGAAATAATAATATTAATAATATCTTTATTATTACTTATTATTATTTCAATTATTTATTATTTTATTAACTTTAATAAATTATATTTTTTATAAAACCCATCAAATGGGCTTTTTTTCAATTTTATTATATTAATAATATTTATTATTATTATTATTATTATTATTATTATTATTACTATTATTATTATTATTATATAGAATATATTAAAAATATGATTATCCCCCAAAAAAATCATATTTTTTTCGATTAAGATTTTTTTTTCTTTTTCAGATTCAGAGCACTGTAATAACAACAAGCCACAGTCCAATGGAACTTTCCCCTCTGTCTTTCTGCACTCACCTGGTCTAAGCTCACAACTTAACCTCACGTACGACTACAGGTAGATTCATTCCTGCTGTTATACCAGAAACTGCATTTGAGCTGAAGATTTTCTGTGTTGTAATCTCTGTCATGTTACCTTTCCTTTCTCACCTTGACTCCAGCACCTCGGAGTACCTCTTCCGCTTAACGGCGGTGCTGGTTCATCATGGAGACATGCATTCGGGTCATTTTATCACTTACCGCCGCTGTCCTGCCGCTCCGCGTGGGACTTCTCCATTCAGCTCGCAGTGGCTGTGGGTGTCTGATGACTCTGTGAGGAAGGCCAGTCTTCAGGAGGTGCTCTCCTCCAGTGCATATCTGCTCTTTTATGAGCGAATGCAGAGGCCTGGTCTGAGGGTAGAAGAGTAGCATTTCAGCGGACTTAGTTAAACGCCAGAGTGTTATTAACTCTCCATTCCATGCTATATGCTACTTATGGCCAAGTGGATTTGTGCATCCCAGTGCATGAAGTTTGGCATGCGTATTGTTTTTTTTCTTTCTTCATGAGAAAGAGAGAGAGAAAATTTGGGTTTTGCATATCACAGATAGCACCTTAAAGAGATAGCTTACCCACTTACTTACCATTTACTTGATTCTTTCTGTCAAACACTAAAGAAGATACTTTGAAGAATGTTGAAAACTGGTAGCCATTACCTTTTGTAGTATTTTAAATGTCAACGGCTACCGAATATCTTTTTATTTTTTTATTTGTGTTCAACAGAAGAAAGAAACTCAATAGGTTGGAGCTACATGAAGGGGAGACATTTTTAATTTTTGGGTGAACTATCCCTTTAATTTGGCTCTGTGTTCATGGCAGTTGTTGTTTTAGTCAATATCTGAGAGTGTGAGCGATGCTGGACATGATTACTGATATGGGATTTACAAATATCTAAAGTTGGTTTCTGTCTGGAAAACATCAGATTTCATGATAATGTTGCAAAATGACCCATAATTGTTGCCTTGCTCATTAAGCTAATGATTTGCTTGACAAAAGTAAATTTTACATGTTTCTCATGCTGTTTTCTGTTTTTTTTTTTTTTTTATAAAATTGATAATGTGTCTGAAAATAACTATTGTTAATGTGTTTATGCAATTCGCATATAAAGTTTTTTGTAACATGTAAACGCCACTAAGTTGTTTTTGATTCACATTTTGAGGTTAATTAGAGAAGAACACATAATGATGGGATGCAGCCACATCTACACGTAGAACAGTTTTCTTAGAAATCCTTATTTTGTTTTGTTGAATGATCGACATATCCTTTGTCATTTTAACATAAGTGAACACTTGGAGAGGAAACTTAAACACGAAGTAGAAAATTGTAACCTAAATTTCAGCTGTTGATTTACCAAATGGACTTTTCTCTAATACAAGCATTTCAATATACATCCACGTCCAGTGTTACTCTGTAATTCTTTGTTATATGTTGATTGTACATGATGCAGTTTGCACAATTGTATATTTTTATGATACTAGCGTGTATGATTGTGTGGGTGAGTATTTTTTTCACATGTAAATTAATTTAAATTAAATAAATTCTGCTACTGTCAAAACATCTTGTTTTTTTACACATTTTTTTTTCCAACAACTTACTATAATAACTAAAAATGTTCTCTGGTTTTAAGTAAATTGTGGCTGTGCAATTCCAGCGTTATGGGTGTGACGTTTGCAGTAAAAACTCAAAACATCTGAAATCTGTAAACATTTAAAATAAAAAATAAGGAAAAATAAACATGTGTTATGGATGTGATCAAAAAAGTTTGCCAGTTTTGCAGTATACAACATACTTTGTAGAGTGTCTGGGAATTAAACTGCACAAGCCAAAAGAAACAATGCTAATCAAAAGGAAAACAGTTGTCTCTCTAAAGCAGAGGATCCCAAACTTTTTAGCCCACGACCCCTGAAACAAAAATGCCAGTGACTCACAACCCCCAAATTCCTCTGAGGTGGTTATAATTATAAAAATGTTGTGCACACAACAATAGGCCTATATAAACACTAGCATATTAACAGCAAAAAAAGGTAACAGCCTAACAACCCTATCATTTTTAGTAATTTAATAATTGATTTAATATTAATAAACTGGTGGGCACAATGTTTTCAGTACAAGTCTATTCTATGTTTAATTTTGGAGACCACCAAACAGAGATCATTCTCAATGTTTAGTTGTAGCCTGTATTTATGTTTAATGTATTTAATTGCCATAAAAGTGTCAAAGTTTAACCTAGCACTATAAATCAATCTGCTGCAGCTGACGCTATTGCTGTTGTTAATTTAAAGAAAACACATAATCCTATAAAAAAATAGTTGAAAGGCTGAAGGTTTTTCATTTGCATGATGTTGTTTTTACTAACAACTACTATGTTCATCTTCTGTGGGTTATGGTAAAATATAGTAAATCTAATAGTTTAATAAAATGTATTTGACTTCTGGAAATCATTAAGCGACCCCCTGTCATTGCCCCATGAATTCATAGGGGGTCCCAACCCTCACTTTAGGAATCACTGCTTTAAAGGACAAAAATGATTGATTTTATTTCATATTTTTGCATTTATAAGGAAAATGCTTTGTTGTGGATATGATGTCTCACCGTTATGGATGTGAAATTGATACTTGTGTGACTTTGGTAAATCAAATATAATTGTTTGAAAACATTGACAGAGACATTTTTGAGTACTTTTACAGTACTTAAAATACAAGCCTACAAAAAAAAAAAAAAAAAGAAAAAACTTAAAAGGGGTTTTACTATATTGGTTAAACCTTAATTATTTTCATAATATTTATGAACCCAGCAACCCTGCTGACAAAAACAGCATATACTGGTAAAGTATGTTTTGATGCTGGTCTTGCTGGTCTCAGTGCTGGTCCAGCAAGACCAGCATCGAGACCAGCAAACACAGCATTAAAACCAGCAAGATCAACAAACCAGCATATGCTGTTTTTTCTGCAGGGAAGCTTGACATGTGTATGGGATTGTTCAGCAATGTTTTAATTATTTGTTTCATTGATGTAATTTAATTAAATCAAGCCATACTTTACATTGCTGAGGTAATATGTCGAGGAAAATTGCTGTTATTTACTTACCATCTGTCAATCAAACATGTAGGACTCTTCAGTAGTAAATTTTTGTAGATGTACTAAAACTTTCTAAGGAGAAAATAAAACACTTTCTGAGGTAATTCTTTAGATGTTATGAAGCAAACTATCAGTCTGTGCGAGAACTGAACGTTGTTAACAACATTACTAACGTTATTACCCCTCCTTGTGAACTTCTTGACTAGTTATTTTAACGTTACTCAATTAAGAACTATGGAAACAAACCGCAAACGCTATGTCCTATGCAGGGCTAAGTTTTTCTATTTAATTTTTCTTTCTTCTACAACCTCTGCAGTTTAGAAATTAAATGGATATTCTTGAAATTATCTCCAAATGCGAGAACTAGTGCAAGTATGAGGGTGAGTAATCGAAGGAATTCTCTGTCTCTTTAATAGCGGACATGCTTTGTCACTTTAAGAGACAGCACGTGCACTTTAGGGCGTGGTCATAAAGAATCAAACCAATGGGATCACACAGTGCCGCTCTGTTCTATGACGCACGCCTTCAGACCACGCACGCTGCGTCCGACCACCCTTCTCAGGAAGCACTTGCACTTTGTAAAAAAAAAAAACAACAGAAATTTTCACTCTTATGATATAAGTGCCCAGGCGCTGCTCCAGTAAGTGACGATGCCAACGCAAAGCGTACTTGTCCGAGACCCCTCTTTGCTGGCGAGGGCACTTCAGCAGTATTTGAGCTTGTTAAAGAAATATCCAATCATCACCAAATCGGTTACGAGGTCAGTTTTACGTCTTTGTTTAAGCTAGTTAGTTAACTAGTTCGCCCCTAGTTAGTTGGCTAGCAGCTGTTTAGGTGCTTTAGTTAATGTTAGGTTTAAATTGATTTCACCACGTTTACAGCTATGGAGTTAGATTTATGTCTTAATTGTTCAATCAAAAATTAGTTATAGAGACATAATTATTAGCCAATTAGACAATTATTATTATTAGAGAAGATTTCTTTAACACATTTCTAAACATAATAGTTTTAATGACTCATTTCTAATGCCATGATGACAATAAATAATATTTGACTAGATATTTTTCAAGACACTTCTATACAGCATAAAGTGACATTTAAAGGCTTAACTAGGTTAATTAGGTTTACTAGGCAGGTTAAAGTAATTTACTTTACATAAAGTAAAGGCAAGTTATTGTAAACGGGGGTTTGTTCTGTAGACTATTGAAAAAAAATATAGCTTAAAGGGGCTAATAATTTTGACCCAAAATGTGTTTTTTTTTAATTAAAAACTGCTTTTATTTTAGCCAAATAAAACAAATAGACTTTCTCCAGAAGAAAAAATATGATCAGACATACTGTGAAAATGTCCTTGCTCTGTTAAACATAATTTGGGGAAAGAAAAAAAAATCAAAGGGGGTTTAATAATTTTGATTTGAACTGTACATAGTAATTTAAAAATAAAAGATTGTTCAATTAAAAAAAATAACCTTAATTAAAAGTTTCAATGATAATAAAATATTTTTGATTACAAAAATAAAATATTGTCCTATTATGCAGTTACCACAGTTTTCATTGCACACATTCATTTTGCTCTCTGCTCTGCTGTCATTTATTGCAAATCTAGAATCTTTGTTCGTGAGCTGAAATGTTTTGCTCGCGCATTGAAAAGTTTTAAACCCATGTATTCTGGGGTTCATATGTCAAATGAACATGAAATAAACAACTAACCAACTATTACGATGAACATATTCAGACAGTGAATTATTCTTCCTTTACATAAAATATTCCTGCTGTCTTTCAAATAACAACATAATATCTCTCAAAGACACGTTATCAATATTATCTGACAGGTAAAATTACTGATAACACACAAATTAACATTTTACTCAAAACATATAAACTGAATAAAGTCCTCAAATTTTGTTACTTTCCCAAAATTCTTAAGAACAATTTGTTTTTCTTGTTAATCTCTGAATAACTAAACTAAATAGACGAATCATGTTAGAATCATAAGCAATTTTGGTTGAAAAATATGCACCAATGTATGTGAACAATGAATATTAATTAATATCAATAACTGAGTGCATAATATAAGTAATAGTATTATATAATTACTAATCATTTTAAATTAAGAGTAAATCATGTATTTGTTATGTGGTAAGTAAAAATATATACAACCTCTAAATAAATATACAAACAAAAATATAATTTGATCTGTTTAGTTATATATAATAAATATAAAAATACTATTATAGTAGTTTATTTATATATATATATATGTTTATTTTAAATGAAAGATTTAAACAAATTAACATCACTAAATTGTAGGCGCAAAATAATTTAGTTGTTAAATGCTTGGTAGCGCTGTCTGCCTATGAACATATATTTAGTACAGGTTTATCATGAAGGACTTTGCACTGGGTCTTCTTTCTCTATTGGTTGGCTTGAGGGTGGGACACTCAATACCAGTCAAAACTAAAACTCGCTTCTGGACAAAACACAAAAAGACCACAAACAGCCGTGTGTGTGTGTGTGTGTGTGTGTGTGTGTGTGTGTGTGTGTGTGTGTGTGTGTGTAAAAAATAGCCATTTTCTTTCTTTCTTACAGTGGTATTCTGTCTGCTTTGGGAAATCTTTTGTCTCAAGTTTTGGAGTACCAGAAGAATGTCAAGGAAAATAGTCCCAAAAAGAAAATCAGCATTCTGGGACCTGTACACTTTGCAATTTATGGGTATGAGTATGAGGAACTGAGTGATCTATCAATTCATACAAGCACATTAAATAACTATACGATATTTACTATAAATACTGTATGATGAATTAATAATCTTTCAAATGTGGATTTGATTTTTCAGACTTTTTATCACTGGTCCAGTCAGTCATTACTTCTACCATCTCCTGGAGGTCCTGTTACCAACCACTGTCCCATACTGCCTCATCAAGCGCCTTCTGCTGGAACGTCTGATATTCGCCCCTGCTTTCCTCCTGCTCTTTTATGTGGTTATGAACGCTTTAGAGGTAATGACTTCTTTGTGACATTACTTCATTTATAAAAAGCTATCTTAAATCAGTATCAATACCGAGATGGCCAGCTTTTAACTCCACATTTGTCCCAAACAAAATAGACACTACTTTTAAAGTTTGGAATAAGCAAGGACTTACGGCATGCTGCACTTTTCTACATAATGGAAGTGCTAAGGATTTAGAAATTTTCGAAAATGAAAATTCACTGAGTGATCATGACTTTCATAGATATTTACAGATAAGACACAAAATTAAAAACTTTAGAAAGGGCGATGAAAACAAAAGTAATAGTCTTCTTACAATATTTATCATCTTATAAAGGAGCCAACATGACCAAAGTAATTACTAAAATATATAAAATCTACTAGACAATAAATTAGAGAACACATATTATAATGTCATGTATCAGTGTATTTATATAGCACATTTATCATGTATGGCCATACACCCAAAGTGCTTCTCAATCATGAGGAGAGTCTCTCTACACCACCACCAGTGCATAGCATCCACTTGGATGATGCGACAGCAGCCACATGACAACAGTGCCAGTGCACTCACCACACAGCAGCTATAGGGGGAGTGGAGAGACAGTGATACAGCCAATTCAGTGGATGGGGATGATTGGGAGGCCATGATGGGTAAGGGCCAATGGAGGGATTTTGGCCAGGACACCGGGGCTACTTTTTACGAGAAGTGCCTTGGGATTTTTAATGAACACAGAGAGTCAGGACCTCGATTTAACATCTCATTCGAAAGACTGCGCTCACTGACAGTATAGAGTCCCCTTCACTATACTGGGGCATTAGGACTGAGTGGAAAAGTAATTTTAAAACACAGTGGAAATCAACATCATCCTCAGTCATTTTTTCCCTGAGCAGAAGAGATACTTAAACAAAGATGCAGTCTGCTGAAGACTATGTGGCTCAAATGAAGCAAATGATTCACATATTCTGGAAATGTTTAAAGATTTAGGCATTTTGGCAAGTAATTCATAAATGTTTAGAGAATGTATTCCATATACCCATCGGTTTTTCTTTCTCAACGCTGTACCTAGGCCTAAAAAATCAGATGTCAGAAAAAAATTCAGAGAAAGAAAAGTGCTGAAAATTTTGCTGATAGCTTGTAAAATGATGAAGAAAAAATGGTTACAGCTCGAAATACCTCAAATTAGTGACTGGTTTACATAATTTATGAAATCTAAAAGATGGGGAGGCCAACAATGAATCGTCATTTACAGACTGAGGAGTTTAATTAGACATGGAAAAAATGGGTAGACTTTATTCTCCTTATGACCAGATTTATTATAGAATGTATAGTCAGAAAGATGTGAATTTTATTCTGTTTATTTTGTGTTTTATTTTTTGTAATGAGAGAAAACAACACAAAATATTAAAAAAATTATTTAAAAAATAAACATTAAAAATTTACCTTTAAGGGTGCTTTCACACCTAGACTTTTGTCTCGTTTGCCCAGTTAACTCGGTTCGTTTGGCATATGTGAAACCAGCAGTTGCGCTCGGATCCGCCACAAATCAATCAGTCCGAGATCGCCTGAATGAGTTGGTCTCAGCTCGATTGAAACGAACTCTGGAGCAGACCGATTGTAGTGAGAAAGCAAAACAATCCAAGCCCGGCTATACCACAGTGTATTATGGAATATCCTAAAAGTACCATCCTCACAGTTTCATATGTATACAGTATAGGTAATAAAAATTCCATTGTGGAAAACCCAATATACAATACATCTGTATGTACATGTGGAAACTGCAATAAAAACTAAATAAAAAAAACATAAAATCTTAAAAATAAGAGTCTTTATAGAAAACTTGAGGAGTCATAAATAATATTTGTGCAATGGAAAAATTCTAAGGATGCTAACAGTTCATCATGGAACCATGAATTCCAATAAAGGACATTTGTTTTTGTAATACTTTTAAAAATAGAATGCTAAAGTGTTTTTATTACATAATTTATTGTAATGTTTGGACATACCTCGTTTTTAGGCCTACCTCTGTATGCAACTTCGTTATTACAGTTACTGACATGTTGTTCTACCATTTACTGTCAAGAATGGGGAAGTCACTTTAAGACATGATGTTAAGACATGATACAAGCATGTGGTTTTCATATTGTAGTGAAGAGTGTTACAACAGGACTGGTTTCACTCACCGATGTAGTTGATAGTCATGATAAGCTGGACTATTGCGGACATTTAGGTGCGAGCTGGCCTTCATGATGCTCAACTTTGACCAGATTATAGAGTTGGAGCTTCAGGTCAATGAACTTCCCCTGTTTGCTGATCAGTTTTCAGTCTCAGCTCAGATTCTGTTGTTTATGGAAGCTTTCTCTATGAATCTACACAAGTCAAAGAACAAAATCTATTCAATTTTTGTATTTTTTTGTGAGATGAATAACTAAACAAATTTGAAAGAACTGATAATGTTGCACCATCTGAGGTCAAGGCATTGATGCGAGGGGCCATTCACACAGAACGCATCTTTGCATCTAAAAATGTGAGATGCAGCTCTCTGGAATATATTTGTTTTTAAATGGCACCTCCTCCAGCATGTTAACATCAAATAAAACATTTTCATGCCAACTTGCTACTGGAAACCAAGCAGCAACATCGCACACTTCCTCGTGAAACCTATACAGAAGTAAAATAAACTGCAATTCATCGAAATTCCGCTAGGTCTGGCTCCAAAATAGAGCACAGTTCAAATGACTCCAATGTTAAAATGGCCAACTTTACAGCAGAAAACAATTGATGATGCGTGAACGATTGAACGACAAAATGGTGATGCTTGGCCATGCCCACTGTTAGTTTCGTTTGCACTCTTCAGAAACCTATGGGTGACGTCACAGAAACTACGTCTATATTTTTTTACATTGTATGCTGTGAACGAAATCATACAATGCTTTCACCGCCTCCATGTTCATCTGATTGGCTTTTTAACTGATATTTACATTATTAAAACTTTAAATTCTTTTAACTTGACATGGCATCTTAAAAATGTGCTGCTCATGTGCGAGGTTCTGCAAAAGATCCGACACGCGAGTGCATACTTGCATAGAAAAACAATGGAAAAGTAGCACATTAGAATTGAAAATGGCTCCTAACACAACCAGTTCTATTAACGTTGTTAATAGAAACACTATTTTTCCCCCACCATTTAAATTGGAGACCACAGTCTGGTGTTAGTCACTGTTATACTTTTTAAGATCAGGAGAGTACAGGCCTGTTCATATATGTTTGCATCCACATGATTGAACAATAATTTTTACAAATTTTTAGTCTATGCCTCTAATCGAATTAATTTAGCGATTGTATTTAGTGCAGTGGAAGATGTCGTCTGTAGCTGTAAAGTGCATGAAACCTTTATACTTCAATGGATTCTGACTGGCTGTCAGGGTTTTATATATTATTAGCTGAAAAAAACTCATTCTGAAAATAATCCCAATTATAGCTTTTCACTACATTTTTATTGGTATTGCTGTGGTTTGAACTTGGCTGTTGTTTTACATTCAGAACGATTTATAAAAGGATGTCTTTATCGTTATCACGCTTAAGCCTCACTCTCATAACTCTTACTGGCTGGCATCTGTTGCAGTCATTCCCAAACCTTACTTTCATCTGGGTCACGGCACCAATAATTCTTCTCTACTTTGACTTGGATCACACCATGCAGGATCTGTATTTAGAAAAGTTCAAACAAAAAAAGTTTGTCTTAGGGTTACTACATTTACAGATACTTTGATGCACACTATTTATAATCCACAAATTGCATTTCCAGTATATAGTTACACAGTTTCCTGAAAATATCCTGAAAATGACCAAAATGTGATCTTTGCAGGGCAAAACACTCGCAGATGTTCAAAACAAGCTTAAAACAAGTTACTGGCCTGCGATGAAGATGAACTGGAAGGTCTGGACGCCGTTTCAGTTTATCAATATCAACTATGTACCTGTACAGGTCAGTATAAAAACATCTGTTCCACTGTTTAAGATCTCTGATCCATTATCTTACTTTCTCATTCCTTTTACAGTTTCGAGTGCTGTTCGCCAACATGGTTGCCTTATTTTGGTATGCCTACCTGGCCTCTGTCAGGAAATGAAAGCACAAAACCAGTTACAGCAAGCTTATCTTGGTTTACGGTGAATCCAGGTTGTGCCTTACTGCAGTGTTTCTCAACCACATTCCTGGAGAAACACCAACACTGCATGTTTTGGATGTCTCCTTTGTCTGTCCCACCTATTACAGGTCTTTCAGTCTCTGCTAATGAGCTGAGAATCTGAATCGGGTGTGTTTGATTAAGGAGACATGAAAAATGTGCAGAGCTAGTGGTCCACCAGGAATATGGCTGAGAAACACTGCCTTACTGGGTCAGTTTCTGTCAAATAACTGCTATATAGATAATTGTAATACTATTTTCACTAAATTATTTTAAAAAATCTGCCCAGAGATTGAATCTGCTCATACTAAATGTCTTTCTAATGGTTGCAAGTACACTGAACATGAATTAATCAATGTTGTAATTGATTAATTAAATATATAAATGCTTACTGAGACAAAATAATTTTGTAAGTAGTCATTACTACTGCTATTGTCAGCAGTCTTGAACTCTGTGTTATTCTAAAATCTATTCTAAAGTCAAATCTACAAGAAAAGCAGTGACCTTGCTAATGTTATGTACTCGTATTGCTCTGATTAGATGTTTTTGATATTGGGTATTAAATAAAATATGCCAGCACACACACACATCAATAAAAAGCGTTTTTAAAAATTCACCCTTATAGTATCATTTAAAGGCTCAGTACTCTATCACAGTGTCTGTAGAAGGTGTGTTAAATATGGCAGTTTATAGCAGCTGAAAAAGTAAAGTGTTTATTGTATTATTTGCATATAAAGTGAGTTGCCTCTTTCTCAAACTCACTGTATAAGTTCTAAGTATTCATGTTTGTTTTGAAACTCACCCCCACATTTCCTTTGCTGTCATGATTCAGCAGTTTTCTGTTTCCATACTTGAGAAAAGCAATGCACAACAGGCCATAAATGTGACGTAGGGCACAAACATCTGGGTGTGTTCAGACACAAGAATTAAATCACACTGAATTTTGTAGTATGGCAGTTGTTTGTAACTTAATGCTTTTTTATGTTTAGCACTTGTGTAACTATACACTACCCGGCCACTTTATTAGGTACAACTTACTAGTACTGGGTTGGACCCCCTTTTGCCTTCATAACAGCCTTAATCATTTGTGGCATAAATTCAACAAGGTACTGAAAATATTCCTCGGAGATTTTGGTCCATATTGACATGATGTCATCACTCAGTTACTGCACATTTGTTGGCTGCACATCCATGACGCGGATCTTCGTTTCAGCCTGAACCATTGATACAAGGCAGGATGGATCCATGCTTTCATGTTGTTGATGCCAAATTCTGACCCCTATCCAAAAGTAGCAGCAGAAATCGAGATTCGTCAGACCAGGAAACATTTTTTCCAATCTTCTAATCTTTTGGTGAGCCTGTGTGAATTGTAGCCTCAGTTTCCTGTTCTTAGCTGACAAGAGTGGCACCCGGTCTGGTCTTCTGCTGCTGTAGCCCATGTGCCTCAAGGTTGGACGTGTTGTGGATTCAGAGATGCTCTTCTGCATACATCGGTTGTAAGGAGTGGTTATTTAAGTTACTGTTGCCTTTCAATCAGCTCAAACCAGAATGGTCCTCTCTAAACCCTAGAGATGGTTGTGCATGAAAATCCTAGTAGGTCAGCAGTTTCTGAAATACTCAGACCAGCCCATCTGGCACCAACAACCATGACACGTGCAAAGTCACTTAAATCACCTTTCTTCCCCATTCTGATGCTCTGTTTGAACTGCAGCAGATCGTCTCTACCATGTCTACATGCCTAAATGCATTGAGTTGCTGCCAAGTGATTGGGTGATTAGAAATTTGCGTTAACGAGTAGTTGGATAGGTGTACCTAATAAAGTGGCCGGTGAGTGTATGCAGTTGACTTTTTTTTGAAGGAAAACAATTGACACACAATAAAACAGTAAACATTACTGTTCCTTCTTTCTTTCTATTTTTGTTGTACTTAAGACATTTTTTAAATGAAGTTTTCAAAAGGATGATTTTGGATAAACCAAAAGAAATGGTTGAAAATGTAAGTGTGAAGAACATTATAATAAATTAAAGATCTTTTTTGCATTAGATAAAAAGGTTTTGTTGATGTTAAAGTTTCATTATGGAATCATAAATGCCAATAAAAAACTTTTTGAAAAGATTTTTTTTAAATTGTATGGCTTTGTATTTGTTAACAGTAAACCAGTGAATTTTGTGTTATTTTTGGGTTTTGTGCCATTTCCTGTGGCATACTGGAGACTGGCCTTCAGTATTGTTTCATCAGAAACGGATGTTTTCGTTTGTAGCTCCTGAGTGAACCATTGGAAAGTCAGGGAATTCCCTATGGTCACATGACCAAGGAAACCCAAGTAACGTGAACGTGTTTTCAGGCATGTGAAATAACTACATGACAGTGATGTAAAAATAAAATGTACAGATGATCATTTCTGCATTTTATAACAGGTAACAAATAAAACCCATGCAAAAATATTTGATAGAATTCCAAGAATGTCTTCATCATAATACACTTCTGTGCAAAAATACAGGTTAATAAACAAACGAGCTGTTGTATTGTTACATTTAAAATATTGTGTACGTCTTTTTTTAAGTTTGTGCTTAGACTTTGCATGTTATCAGTTTGCACTTTCAAGTAACTTTAACTCAATATGATCAATTTCCAACTTATAGCTTTAGATTTAAAACACTTGTACCATTAATAGATAAAAATGTTCAGTTTATTATACGTTTGTCATAACGTTTATAGACAGCAGGGGGCCTCAGTTTTTTCATTCAAAATAACTCATTTGTTTTATTTATTGAAGAGCATAGTTCTTAAGGTGTAAAACTTGAATTGGCTGTGTCGTAACCATTTTTTTCAATAAATAAAAAATATATATTTATCGTATGTATATTTTTTATATATTTAAATGTATATGTTAAAACACCACGGCATTTTTGTTAATTAGGCTATTTAAAAATAATAATAGAAATAAGGCATTTCTTTCTTGTTACACAGAAGAATAGATGTTATAAAGTTTTTATTACTGTAATTCTCAAGTTACAAATAACTGAGCAAACTGATTTAAAAGACTTGGAAATCACTGGACTAAACCATTGGCTGAGTCGATAAAAAAATACCACATGCTTGGAAATGTTCCAATTATTTATTTATTTTTTAACACAAAATACAGCAAAAACATTATTGTTTTTAATAATGCAAAATGTGATAGATTATATTAAAGATACAGGAATGTAAAGATATATACACTGAAATGCAGTAAACATGAACGATCATGCTCAGAGCATAATACCGTGTGAACATCACGGCATTGAAAACACTTGAATAAACATTTGAATAGACTTTTAGCACTTTAACAACAACTAATTTGGAAATGTTTCAATTATTAGGCTATTTTTTAGAACAATGCACAATACAGCAATCGAATTTAAAGAATAGCTCATCATTTCTCATCATGAAACGGTAAGCCTATCTTTTATTACGAGACACGATCTTTTGCCCTGCTTTATCATATATGAATATAAATAGCCTGCAATTAAAAGTCAACGTAAGTTAACAAAAACAAAGCAGGACAGACAGAACTACTCAAAACTCTGAGTAGTAAGATTTTAACAGCTATCTGCATTCCTACTGCATCATTATCCTCCTCGTAGACGGAGAGTCATGTGAATGGTGCTCAATGAGGTGATGTCATAGTCCTGCAACTTCATGCCAGACTCGAGCTGTCTGCCTTTGAAAATCAGTCTCTGCTGGTCCTTCGGCACTCTCTCTTTCTGGTAGATCTTGGTCTGGAGCTGATCGACGGTCTCGTTGGCGTCCACATCATAAGTTTTGACCTGGCCCTTCTCGTTCTTGACGAACACCTGGAAAGTTCCGGGATTAGTTGTGATGAGGAGCATCACCACCGAGTCGGAGTTCAGCCCGTAGCTGCTGAGGGTCCGGGATTCATCCTCCAGGCTGATCCGCTGACCGTTTTCGGCCGACAGCTTCTGCTTAAAAGTGGGCACGTTGAAGTACTGAGAGATAACCTGTTTGAGTATTCCAACGGTAGCATCACCGCTCACTTCCAGGCGCTTCACATCACCGCCAAGCAGTTTTACAGTCAGCTGCATCGTCACCTGTCAGAATAAAACACATGAATAAAATGAAGCAACGGCAGCAATCATGCTTATTTAAAACGTGCTGTTGTATTAATGTATAGGTCTAATTAACTCATAATGAATGACTTACCGAGTTATGATGGTAAAATAAGTTGCTGAATGAGGCTTTCGCTGATTTTTTCAAAAGTTTTCTTCTTTCTTGAATAAGTCCTGCAAGTCGCACCGAAATCAAGTGATGTGCCAACAACTGTGATGATTAGAGGCACGAATATTTAAGGCATGAACTCAAGCCCCGCCTCTAACTAGTGTTTCGTTTCCGAAAGCACAAGAAATAACTTTCGGTTTCCATTCTCCCAAAATTGCTGATGCAAGCCCGGGCAAGTCTCTAAACAACATCATATATTGATCCTACTACACTGGAGACAAAAAGGTGTTTTTAACAGCAATAATCAATCAATGGATGTTGCATCTGTCAAAATAAATAATAATAATAAAATATGTAGCCTAAATTGTAAAATATTATAAAATGTAGAATATAGTAGCCTTATAACCTAAATACAAAAAGATATGAAGCAAATGCTAAAATGGGATTTATTTTTTACATAAATATTATAGGTTACACTGAATGGATTGGATATTGTTATATCCATATTCTGACCTTTTTTTTCTTAAGATATTTGAAAAAGTAAAATAGGCACACTTGCACTTCTCATTCATGCAACCACAGCATTGGGAAGTTAAATTTTCATTTATTTATTTATTTTTTTGGAGAAAGGAAGAAGAGCTTTCTGCTTTTTCTGTAAACAACAAGAAGAATTCTGTGGTTGCAAATGAAAAACTAGTGAGAATAAATGTAACAACAGTTGAGAAGTTTATTTTGGCATAACATGAAATCACTGGAATGAGCTTTCTATGGTCACAAGATCGGGGAAATCCAGGTAAAACACGTCATACAGAAACGACACGCCCGCTTCGATCTATTTTGTTCCATTATTAGAACAATGAGCGTTTGTTATAGAAGAAAACCTGTGAATTAACTGATATTATTTTGCATGATATTGAAATGTTCTCATTTTAGCAGCTGACTTAAAGATACGTTTTAGATTTGTCATGGCAAAGCAATACTATTAAGGATAACCATGGTGTTTTATTGGACTTTTTGAATAAATTCATTCATTCATTTTCTTTTTAGATTAGTCTCTTTATTCATCAGGGGTCGCCACAGCGGATTGAACCACCAACTTATCCAGCACATGTTTTTACGCAGCAAATGCCCTTCCAGCTGCAACCCATCTATGGGAAATATCCATACACACACTCATACACTATGGACAATTTAGCCTACCCAATTCACCTGTACCGCATGTCTTGGGACTGTGGGGGAAATCGGAGGAAACCCATGTTATTATATATGTTATATATTTCACATATATAAATATAATGGAAACATCACACATTTAATTCTAAATTAAAATATTATGAGATTTTTAACAGAAGGCAAATAATATGAAAATTAACCTGTTAAAAATTGCAGTATTAATATTTTTCTCTTTTAAATTACAAATGTATAAATTAAAGACATGTACTTCAGTTCAAACTACTAAACTAATATTTAATTGTGGAGACATTATTTTTAATTTTAATAATAATAAAACATTTAGCAACCAAGCAGTTTTTTTTCAGTCCATACAGTTCCTGCAAATATTTTGTTCAGAACTTGAATTTTTATTATCACCCCACAAGTTTTTACTTGGGTTGAGCTCAGGGGATTGAGCAGGCCACTCCATTACCTCAATCCTTTTTGTCTGAAACGAAGCTGCTACCTGCTTTCTTTTGTTTTTGGGGGGTCATTACTAGGGTCAGAAAGAATCTGTGGACATTTATTGCTACTTCTGTGTAGAATTTTGTAAACAATCAGCAGATTCATGCTGAATTATTTTGCAAATATATTACCTAAAAACAAACTTAAAGTAAAAAATAATGATTTTAACATTTATTTAACGTTAAGTTTTACACTGCAAATCTAATTTGTTTGGTAAACAAAGCAAGTCTCATATAATATTTTTACTCAAAAGACAGAAAATATTATTTTACAAACGGTATTGTAAAAATATCAAATAAACACTAGCATATTTGTTAATAAAATGACTAAAATTAATAAAAAAAAAAAACAAATTTGCACAAGTAAATAAATACACTCAATAATCGACAATTTTTGTTGTTGCAAAAATCTGCAAATTTCTGTGCATGCAAATTCAATTTGGGCCTAGCAGGGTATTTCCCCATGGCATAGGGCAACATAATCTCTTGAAGTATTTTGATTCATTCAAACTGCATGATACATGGGTTAGGATAAGTAGACCCAACACCACAGCATGAGAAACATTGCCATGGTTTTCGTGCCACTAAGTTTCATGGGTTTTACTCATCGTCTTTTAGTAACTCATTTTACATTTCATCTACGTATTTCAGGTTTTTGTGGCCATTTTGTAGCACTGGAGATCATTTCAAATAAACATCCTATAATTTGCTCAACCTCTTTGTATGTTTTCCTTTCTTAAATCAACTTTTTACTTAAATTCCATTGTTTTTGAACAATGTTTTGGAAGGACTCATTTATAATTTAGAAAGAAAGATGTTTTATAAACTGTGACACTGCTAACGTTCCTCCTTCATAAATGACCATTATTGACATTGGTTTTCTTCACAGAATGAATGGTTTCATTAAACTGCACAGTGCTATTATTTTAAACTTCTCTTTCAATGCTTTAGCCAATTACTCAGAAACACACCAGAAAGCAAGACATTACAGCTGGGCTTTCACTAATTTATTTGCAATGGACAGATATCATTATGATAAGAACAGGTTACATATACAATCAGCTCTTATTCTTTTCAAAATGAAATCAATACCCCTATTTTGTGTTTACTCCATATAAAGTCAAGAAAACAAACACATTGGACAGGATTGGTTTGTTTGGCATTTTTATTTTAAATTGAAATACAGTCAAAGTAACAACAAAAGTGGCAAGTTTAGATCAGCACATGTGGAATCATTAAACTGGAAATGAGTGAGGATTACGTTCACTTCATATTTTACCCGATACGATACAAATTATTCAGAATCAAATTAAGTTACATCAAATATTTTGATACAATTTGTAAGACCTGTTATAACCTATTTGGTAGGCTACGTGTCGTGTAATATATTATGCAAATAATAATAAAAAATAGCTCTCGGGACTTTATTTTTAGGCATGTTTAGCGTTTAATCATTGTTAAATTGAAGAATAAATAATGAATCGCACTGATCTCCGATTATCCTCCTCGGAGACGTAATGTCATAAAAATGATGCTTCCTGCTTTGATTCCATATTCTTGCAACTTCTTGCCAGACTCCAGTTGTTTGGTGTTAAAAATTAGCCTCCACTGTTCAATGGGGACTCTCTCTTTGCGGTAGACTTTTTCCTGAAGTAACTTTCAGTTTCCATTCTCACCTGTTCAGTGCTAATCTACAAAGTAATCTTGTTCAGTGACGTCAGTATTTTCATTTTATAATCATTTGTTAGACAAACATTATTAAAATGAGGGAATTTACTGTGATGACTTGTTTTATAAAGGCAGAACAAATCCAACAAAAATGTCTGGTATTGCTATTATTACTGTTATTTAACTTATAACGACTATATGATAAATATAATAATTTAAGCAATATAGTAAACTCATCATTAATATATTTTTAATTATGAATACATTTCAGTTGGTATAAAAAATGTAAATATGCTTTTCCTTTTAAATGTTTAGAACATTACCACACTACAAACAAGCACAGTACAACAGATGAAATATTTTGAAATAAATATTTATTATAATGCACACCAGAGCCAATGTTACGCTTACATCAAAATTCTGAGTCCTTAAGCATAGCAGATCTCTCTTCCCTCTTTGGTAGTGGGATGTTTCCTGCAATTAAAAAACAATACAATTTTATTATTCATTTAGTATTGAAAAATAATAATAATAATAATAATAAAAATAACACACATCATCTGTTGAGCAAACATATGTAAACAACAGTGCATAAAAATTCGGCTAAATGTTAAAAGTTTCTAATAGAATGTGTCTTTCATCCCTGGCTTAATCAGTTAATTATACAAACCTTGGTTTTAAATGTTAGTATGGAGATACATTTGTTTTAATAAAACTGCTTGGCCACTTTTTTACCTGGAGGTGCCAGAAAGTACTCCTCTACTGTGTGTTTGGCCAGCTGGAGCAGCTCCTCAGCACATTCACCCTCTGTTACTGTATCATCTCTCAGATACAGCTCTCTGTACACAGCATGGAGTACAAAAAAATGAAAACAATGAAGAAATGTTGAAACTGTACTGTGAGCAAACATACTTGGATGAGTAGTTACAGAGAGCAAAACTGGATTCACCATTTTACACCAAGAAAATGTGGCAAATATATACAAGGAATAATTAACACGGTCTACTAAAATTCTTGATTCTGATTGGCTGGGAGGTGTGTAATAAAATCGATTGATGCACAGGTAGTTCCAGTTAGTTTTGATCACAGTTTGAAATAAATGTGCTACCCTCAAACATTAGTAGTAACCATAGTAACTCGGTGACAAATGTCGTAATCTCAAGAACACAGAAGTATATTTCACTAGTCAGCCGACAGGCGGTCAATCAGCTTCCAATTATTACGTATGAAATGTGATTTTATAATAAATGGAAAAATAAATTTGCGAAGAGTAAGCAAACACATGTTGCAATGAGCTATTCGATATGCCTGTTTCATTTACATGCATAAACACAAGCGTATAACTAATGAAAATTAGGTCAAATAATGAGTTGCCAAGAGCATTAATACTTTTAATTGGTCTAAACTTTGCAGAATGACCACAGAATAAGTGGGGTAATTAATGGCTTGGCATGTGTTAAAGCATTTTAAATGCACAATGTGAGGGCAAAGAACCACCAGACGTAGGTAGCCAACACATGTAACTATGAGCTATTAGATATGCCTGTGCTGTTTACATGGTTAAACACACGCGCATGTCAAAACTGTTGAAAATTAGGTCAATTAATGAGTTGCCAAGAGCATTCATATTTTTAATTGGTCTAAACTTTGCAGAATGACCACAGAATAAGTGGAATAATCAATGGCTTGGCATGCGTTAAAAGATTTTAAATGCACAATGTGTAGGCAAAGAACCAACAGACGCAGGTAGCTAACACATGTAACTATGAGCTATTAGATATGCCTGTGCCAT